ATTGATTAGAGGGCTCTGGGGTAAGAAGCCTGCATCCCCTAGTGGTTCCAACTGCCCAGTGAGTGCAAGTTATTGGGAAGCAGCAAAAGAAAGCCCTCGGCAGAGGAGGGCAGATACTGGCAATTGGAAGTGGGACCATGTATGCTGAAGTGGAAAAAGGGAGGACACAGTGGGTTACCTGCAGTGTCTTCTATGATCACCTTCATTATTTTACTATTACAGGTAACATCTGTGGTCCTCACAGGATAATACTACAGCTGCCCAAGTCCAAATCTTTCTATACAGCCTCCGAGAGTCATTTAGGTTAAAGACAGAAAGAAAAAACCCCATCACCCACATTTACTGCAAGTTAAGAGACTGATGATAAAGTGCTGCTACCTGGCTGTTCCCCAAAAATCCTCCTGTCAGGGAGCTCAGTTCCCTAGCAACATTTCCTACCATCTACCCTGGCCTACAAGGGACAGACAACCACTCGGGGACAGTACAGTAATGCTGACACTACAGGGTGCCAGGGTTTATCAGTACCATTCAGCACTAACAAATAAATTTAAAATGCTGGTACTTAGAAACCAGACAAAGTACTATAAAAAAAAAAAAAAAAAAAAAAAACTCGGGCCGGGGATTTAGCTCAGTGGTTCTGGCGCCTGCTGCGCAAGCACAAAGTCCCAAGTTCAATCCCCAGTACCAAAAAAAAAAAAACCCAAGGAAAATTTATTAAACAGGAAAAGAAATTTAATGAGACTACTTTAGAGAATTGTGTAAATGTGATCCTCATGGCTCAGCCTCCCTGAGTGCTGGGATTACAGGCGTGGACCACTATGTCCAGCAATCTCTGTCATGTCAATCTGAATTCAGTGCTTGAGATTTTCTGAGCTTCCCAGATGATACAAAGCTGAGATACAGAGTGCATGAAAGGTAGTCCTCCTCTGTATCCAAGGCTTTGTTTCTTTGGTACTGGGGATCAAACTCAGGACCTTGCACTTGTAAGACAGGCATGGTGCCACTGAGCTAAATCTCCAACCCCAAGGCTTTATTTTTATTTTTATTTTTTTGCAGTTTCAGCTGTGATTTATAGTCAATTGTAATGGAAAATAGAACATGGAAAATTCTAGAAATAAACTATAAATTTTAAATTGCACACCTTTCTGAGTAGCATGATAATATCTTGCACCATCCTGCTTCATCCTGCCCAGTCCATCCCTCTGTCTGACATATCCATGCTGTATATGCTCCTGCCTGTTAGTCCCTTACTGGCTGTCTTTGTTATCTGGTTGACACAGTGTCACAGTGCTAGTGGTGCCTACATCATTTACCTCACTTCCTCTCATCACAGGTTGTGGCATCACAAAGGCATGTTATGTCATCACAAGATGAAGACAGGTGAGTACAGTACAGTAAAATATTTTGAGAGACCACAGATGCATAGCTTTTATTAGTGTTGTTATAGTTGCTCTACTTTGTTATTAGTTATTCTTAATCTCTTACTGTTTCTAACTTGTAAACTTTATCATAGAAATGTATGTATATACCATAGGCATGGGTGGTGCAGGAAGGCCCACATAGGGTATTTGTATAGTAGGGCTGAGTACTATCCATAGTTTCAGGCATCCACTGGGTGGGGTGGGGTGGGGTGTCTTGGATTCTCTGCAGATAAGGGGGGGACTACTGTATTTCTAGTTTTCCTTCACATTTTAGGTTCCAACTCATACTGGTTCATGGTTCATCAGGCATGGTAGACTTTGAACTCCACTCTCTGTCCCTAGTCCCTGAAGACTCAAAATCACAGTCCTTTGGTTGCCTTTTGGGTTTTTTTGTTGTTTTTTTTTTTGGTACCGGGGATCGAACTAGGGTCCTTGCGGTTGCGGAGCAGGCAGTGAAACCACTGAGCTAAATCCCTGGTCCCTTTGGTTGCCTTTTGAGGGGCTGGCTAACACAGCCAGGGCAAGAAGTCCTCAACAGACCTCGGTGGATTCTTGTCCTCTCCCTGACCTCAGCCAGGTAAATTTTCATTACCTTGTGACCTCTCTGACGTTTTCAAAAGATTTTAGAAACCATCCTTCCAGCATGTTTAGTTGTTGTCAGTTGGAAGTTTGGTCTAAATTCTGTAGGCCACCACCAAAAGCTGATGTTCTGTCTTCAAAATTCTCAAGTGTCTTCCATGTCATCTTGGCTTCCCACATACTTCTGTTCCCTCTTGGAGAAAACTAAAGCCCATTACAATCAAGTGATTTTGTCTGAATTAATGGAACAAGTGGATGGTGGCAGGAGGAGGCACTTAGAGGCAGGTAAATCTTCTGGATACAAGTGGGATAAACAGAGGGAGGGAGACTGCTCTTTTACAGGAGGACCATATCCAGAGAGGCACCTCAATGAGACTGTACCAGTGACCACAAAGGGATCTTGAAGATCCTGTGGATCAGATGAAATACTCAGACCTTATCCATGATATAGCAAGGTCTTTGAAGAGTTTTCAAGAGCAAAGTGACATATTAGATCTGTATGCAAACACATCGAGAGCAGGAATTTCTATCTCATGCTACGGCATATGGTAAGTGCTAGGTATCCGCTGAATGAACTGAAGGGACCATCTTACAATTTATGTGTAACTACTCTCCCATTCTAGACTGTAAGGCACCTGAGTGCAGGGATGGCCCATGGCTCCAAAAGTACTTGTTGGATGAAAAATAAAGACGATATGATGGGGTGGTTTGCATATCTGTGTGCTGGCCTCTCAGTTACCCATTCTAACCAAACTAGGTACAAACAAATATGATTAGTCCAAGGTTGCGGTTTAGCTGTCTTTGGAAGAAGCTGGTGGGATAGAGAAGGTTCCAACAGAGGTGCCCCTGAGCCTCTGGCTATGCACAAGTCACCCTAACTACTTGGAGTTCCTTAAATAAACTGAATATGCTATGGCCAAATCCTAACTGCTTAAGAAATCTGTAAGAATCCAAATAGTTGGGCTGGGGATTTAGGTCAGTGGTTCCTGTGCCTGCCTTGCAAGTGCAAGGACATGAGTTCGATCCCCAGTACCAAAAAAAAAAAAGAATCCAAATAGTTAAGCATGAAAGTGCTTTGAGAAGTGCTTTGACTCTTGTGAGTGGGAGATTCTGGTTTAGGTAATAGTGGGCCAAGATTTCAAACTTTCAGGGACAATGACAGCATTTACCAACATTTTAAATAGGCATACTTTGATTGCATAATTTCATTTCTAAAAGTTATCACAAGGGTAAAAACTATGCAAGTAAAATATATATGTATAAAGATATTCATCCTAGCCAGGCATGTGGCATATGCCTATACTCCCAGCTACTCAGAAGGCTGAGACAAGAGGATCCCAAATTTGAGGCGAACCTGTGTAACTAGACGCTGTCTCAAAGTAGAAAAAAACAATTTTTTAAATGGCTGGGGATGTAGCTCAATGGAAGAGTGCTTGCCTAGCATATGTAAGGCCCTGGGTTCAATTCCCATGACAAAAAAAAAAAAAAGAAAGAAAGATACTCATCCTAGTGTTGTTTGGAATTGTCAACACATCTATACAAGAAAATACTGTGTAGTAATTTTAAGAGTAAATACTGTTTAAGGTGAAAACATTTTATATAATATATGAACACATTTTCTTGTATAAAAGGAAACCATTACAAGAATGTAAGTCTCCTTTGTCACCAAATGCAAAAAATCACCGTTGAAAGTATGAGGTATATTTTTCAGGCTTTTTTCTACATATCCACATGCATATGCATATTCATAAAAATGCCTATGTGGGTACATGGGTTTTGCACACAATGCAACATGCTCTATGGAAGTCTCTAACCTGGCTTTTCCGCTCAACAATGTCTTTGTGATCTCTTCATGTCAGCACATATGACTCACCTTCTAACAGCTACACATTAATGATATTTCATACTATACCTGGCCTTGTCTTTACTGAGTGTTATGATTTAGATCTAAAAGTTCCCCTGAAAGTCTCATATGTTCAGAGGTGAGGTTTTTGAAAGGTGATTAGATCAGGGGGAAGCTACGCTCATCGGTGGATGAATCCACTGATGAGTTCATAGCTGAATGTGATGTTAATAGTTGGGGGTAGAATGAAGGGGCAGACCTGAAAGGATGTATTCTTGTGCTGGTTCCTTGTTCTTCCTTTCTTCTTCCTCCTCCTCACCCCACAAGGCTATTTATACCTTGGAGCCAGCCCACCATGCATGGAGTGAACCCTCTGAAACCATGAGCCAAAATAAATCTCTCCTCCAATTTGTGGGCATCACATATTTTGTCCCAGTGATAGAAAAGTGACTGAGAAACCTTTATGTATACTAATTTTTTTGCCATTGTTAAACTAAATTTATTTTACCAATATGAACATATGTCCATACCATTGCAAGATTTTTAGCTTATGTGACCATATTTACATAGAAATTAATTTTTATATAGGTCTCAAAGAAACTGGAAGAATACCAGTTAGTATAATTATTTTGGGGGAAGGACAGGGGCTGGTTTAAAAGCAAACTTAGGCCTAAATTTTGGTGATCATGTTCTTTCCTGATAATGTATTAATAAGTATAGCAGGGACTGTTGAGAAGTCCAAGACCAAGGGAGATAATGTGCCCTGCCCTTTGTAGCTCCTGGGAGGAGCTGGGAAGGATGGGAAACAGCCCTGATCATTCAGGGTGGCTCAGAAGAGGGCCTAGTGCTAATTACAGAGACCTCAGAGGGCCAGCTATTCTCCTAGTCTATGAAGGACAAAAGCATTGAGCTTGTTTCTGGGGGAAGGGAGGAACTGGGGTGGGAGAAAAAATGACTTTCTGATTGTGGACCTACCCCACCCTTCATCCACTTCAGGCCTTTATTTAAGAAAGAAAAGGATTTTCAGTCAGGACTCTCAGCCCCCAGAAGCCATGGCCTCCTCTACCTATAACACAGGCTCCTCCTCTGCTCTGGTTCCAGAGGTTCAGTGCAGGCTCAACACCACCCTCTTGTCTCCAAGTAAGCACAGTGGAGAGTTTGAGTGAAAAATCCACTTTAATAATCCAGCTTCAGCTCAGCTGAGGAGCTTCAGCTCTCCTCTCAAGTGCAAAGAGGTGGAAGAAAAGTCTTGCCAAGGGTCCTCAATCCACAAAGAGGTTACTGCTCAGAGAGGGCAACAGCTCAAAGAAGCCCTAGAATGAGAGGCAACATGAGATTTGCAATCAGGGAATGGCCAGAAGGAGGTACCCCACCAACCTCCTGCCACAGCCCCAGCAAGAGAAGCACTGAGGTCACACCTAGCTTGACAGCTATGCCATCTTCTTAGACTCTCTCTGACCCCTCATTTTCCTGTGGGGCCCCTGAGCCTTGAGAAGAATGACGACTCATTTCCCTACATGGTAGCACCATGTCAACCAACCCCCATCGTCTAGGCCAACAGTTTAGGGCTAGTGATGCTGCCTTAGCAACCAATCCCGGGAAGGGAAGGAGCCTGGTGACCACCAGCAGGGGGACGGTACTACCTTGAAGAGGGTGAGGGTCTGGAGCACCCCTGTGGTGCAGGCTGTCTCCCGGATGGAGTGCATGGCCAGTTGCGGGCTGCCTAAATCCAGCACCCGCAGCCCCAGTCGAGAAGCCAAGATCGGGCCAATGGTGCTGCCACAGGGAGAGTCATTCCGGACCATGAGGTCCTAAAGAAAGAAGAGAGGTCGTGAGCCACACGTGGTAGGTTTAAGGCCCATCCAGGAAGAAACCTTCTCAGAACTGCAGGGCTGGGAGGGCCTGAGAGATGGTCCGATTCTACCCCCTGGAGCATAGAAGCAACCAGTGTGAAATCACAGAGCCAACATGAATGGCACACTCCAAAGGACAATATATTCTGGCTTGGTCTCATTCTTGTACTCATACTTGTACTGCTACTAGCCTGGCTTAAGCTACTATCATTTTATCCCTCATAAATAATCCACTCTCTCTATGGCAGGCAGGAGGATTTTATAAACTTATCTTTTCTGTCATCCTCATGCTTAACACCCCCCACCACACACACAGAAAGGAAAAGCACTCAGTAGTTTGTTTTAAAAATACTGCTATTGGGCCGGGGATTTAGCTCAGTGGTTTCACCGCCTGCTGCGCAAGTGCAAGGACCCAAGTTCGATCCCCGGTACCAACAACAACAACAAAGGTATGACAATTTGAGCATTAAATATGATAACTGTAGCAGACCAGATCACACTGAGTCAATGAAAACCCGTGATTCTCACAGTCAAAAAAGGAAAAGGAAAAGGAAAGAAATACTGATTTATCATTTGCGATGGTGACATTAGGGATGGAAACTTACCTTGAAAAGACTAAGCACTTATGCTGTTCTTTCCAGTGAGAATTATATTTCATGATAGCCAAACAGCCCTACCTGATGTGGTAGGGAGAGAGGATTCTACTCTATGGAAGACTGGAAAGGATGAAAGAGAGGGTGGCATCTTTCAGTAAACTCTGCTAAAATACTGACTTAGGCAAGGATTATCAATTAGTATTAAAACCATTTGGTGTCTGATGGGGAACTCATTGCTTATACAGCTACTGTCCAGCCAATGGAAGGAAACCACCATATGACGGAAGGACTGAAGGGAACCTCAGTCCAGTGGTCCATCTTATCATTCCTTAGGGTGGATCACCCAGATATTATGTATGTGATCAATATGAAGGGGATACCAGCTGTGATGTTTCCTAGCCAAGTGTTTAAGTTGAAACCATCAAATCTTCAGACATGAATTCCAGTTTACAGAAAATACAGTTTAGAGACACTTGCTAAATGACACCATGAGCAAGCAACCATACAAATCCAGAAAGTGAGACACTACATGAGATCAGTGTGATTTCAACAAGCCAATGTTAGATTTTTTTTTTTTTTTACACTTGATCTTAGCCAAAAGGCCGAGAAGCAATAGATTTTTTTTTTTTTTTAAGTGTGTTGGTAGGGGGAATAGGGTGCAAGGAAAATATCAGCCAGATATAATGCCTGGTCCTGAACTGGACACTACAGTAGGCCAAACAACTGTAAAGAATATTTTGGGGACCCTGGCATAGTAGCTCACACCTTCAATGCTAGCACTCAGGAGGCTGATACAGGAAGATCATGACTTTGAGGCCAACCTGAGCTATGTAGTGAGTTAAGGTCAGCCTGGAGTACGTAGCAACATCCTATTTTTTTTAAAAAGTATACACACACACACACACACACACACACACACACACACACACAGAGATATATACACATGTAACTGCATATTTTAAATTTTTATATAGATTTTTGGGGGGGGGGTGAGGGATGGGGGAAAACCGAAAGTGATCTCTATATTTGATGAGAAACAAATTAACAAAAATTTACTGAAAAGGAAAGGTGCAGATGACTGAGTGAAAAGAGGTAAGAAAAACTATATTCAATATGATTTCATTTTAAAAAGTGCATTAACTATATGCATTAAAAAAATTGGGGCAAATGTATCTCTGGGGATTTGTCAAGTTTTCTGTTTGTTTTTGCAGGACTGAGCTCAGGGCCTTGCATGTGCCAAGGCATGCACTCTGCCACTGAGTTACATCTCTAGCCTGGAATTCATATTTTACTTTTCTTTTATTTTCTGAAGTATGTATGTCCTGCTTCTGCTGTTAGTTATTAGAGAAAAATCCCCCATTGTCATCAACCTGACTTAGAATAAAATTCAAATGCCCTTCTGTGTCCTGGACACCCTGCACCATTAGTCCAGGCAGGTTTCTCCCCCGTGCCTCCGGGTCTCACCCTGGCTTTCTCTCCTCCTATCAGACCAACCTCATTCCTGCCCCTTTGGAGGCTTTCCACTGTTCCCTCTGCCTGTGATGTTCTTCCCCAGACCCTCCCATAGCTGCCTTCCACCTCCTCTGAAGACCTTCCTGAGAGGGGAACCACCCGGCTCACACCAGCGACAATGGGGACACTGCAGCAGAAAGAGTCCCGAAGTGGGGATCAGGATACCAGACTCAGTCCTGACTACTGGAACTTGTTTGCTATGTTTGTCACTGGACTGACAGACATAGCAAACAAGACAGGCAGGCAGGCAGGCAGACAGACAGGCATGTTATGTCTATGCATGCACTCATGCACACTAAGGAAAAAGGACTAGATGAGTGATTTTCAAGACAATAGGGAAAATGAGTAGGTGGGGACCCAGGCTCCTCAGCTCTGAATATCCTTCGGGGAAAATCACGGGTGTGTAAGAGATACAGAGGAGGTAGGGGTGCTGAGAGGGAAAAAGGCAGGACTAACCTACTATATGCTAGGAGCATTCTGTGCCTTTAATCCTCATAAAAAGCCAGCAAAGCAGGCCTCATATTGCAGATGTGAAGACTGAGACTCAGACTGCACAGGAGACACCACGGCCGAGAGCACCTGCATTGAATTCTGCTCGGTTTATGCTCAAAGGCCCTGTTCTTCTCACGTACTGGGCCCCTTCTCTACCAAAGGTCATCTCTCAGGTGCCTCATCCACTGGGGGCCCTGTCAGCTTATACCTCACACCGCCCCTCCATCGCAGCGCTCCCACCCTCACCTGCAGGGGCACCCCAACATTGCTGGCCACCTCTCGGATCAGGGCCTCTGAGACGGCATTGGATGCGTAGCGCTGCTTGCTGTTCACCTTGATCACAGGGCCCTGGGGAGAGACCAGGGGAGGCAGAGCTGAGAGCAGGCCCAGAGGGAGGGACAGGGTCCACAGCCAGCCTGGCCTCCTCTTCCCTGAGGGGGAGGGAGCATCTCACCTTGTGGAATAAGGGCCGGTGGTTCTCCTCGTGCTTGTCCCTGTAAGACGTGAAAGGGTCAGGATGGCGCACAGGAGAGGGCCTGTCAATGCCCACCACCTCTCCTGAGGCAACCAGCACTAAGGGATCACAGCCCTCTTTTCTACCCAGTGTGGCAGCACCTAAAAAGTGTTCCAGGCAGCCTCTAACAAAAGATGGAACTAAGTCTAACAATAGATGCAAATAGATGGGATAAGGCCTATCCCTGGGTTAGGCATTACTTGACTGGCCAAGTCGGGCCTCGGAGCCGTCTGCAAAGTCCCCACCAAACTACCTGGGGAATGAGGAAGAGGGAGGGAAGAGGTGGGGGACAGGGCCAAGCCTGGTGAGTTACACTTGGGTCTCTGGCTGTGTGAGGACTGCGTCGGGCATGGGAGACTCACAGGAAGTTGGGGTGCACGGCATGGGCCATGTCTGCGCTGATCATGTAGGACTTGGGTACGGCCTCCTCGAAGGCCGTCAGGTGCTGGGACGAGGCTGAGATCCGCCGCAGCACCAGCTCTGTCAGCAGAGACTGCGCTCCCTGGGCACTCTCAGAGCCCACCTGGGGACGGCAGAGGCCACGGGCCTGAGCTGGCAGGCTAGCAAGAGGGGCCCAATGTCCAGACCAGCCCAGGACCCTCCTCAGTGAGTCCCTGGAGGGAAAGGGTGTGGGAACCTGCATCACCACTGAACACCTGGCCGTAGGCTGGGTCCAGACTAATCCCCAGTCATCTCCGGGGCAGAAGCAGCACTTACTGCTGGGTTTCCTGCAATGGCCCACATCCCTCACCAAGAAGCACACAGAGATATGGGAGACGGGGTCACATTAGAAGATGCAGATATATGCTGAGCTAGGAGGAGGGTACACCAAGTGCTAAAGAAGTACTACCCCTACTCTGCCCCAATCTGCAGGGCTTCTAGGACAGCCCTGGCTCACAGTTGGCTGCAGAAGGCTCCACAGAAGGGCCCCTGCCCAGAACGCTCCACATACCTCCTCGTGGTCATAGAGCGTGATCATGCGCACATGAGGCTCCATGGCCAGAGAGGCAGGTGCTGCGCAGGAATCGATCAAGGCCTGGATGGGGAAAGAAACAAGTGCATCATCCTACCGGTTAGCCCACCAGTGCTCTGCAGGGGCACAGTCCTTGCCCATGCTGCAGCCAGGTGAAGTGGGCAGTGCTTTTGTAGCCTCCTCTCTTAGGGCCCTGCCACAAAGAGGGGGTGGGGGGGACCTTTCCAACCAGGACAAGAGAAACCATCCTCCGGGTGCCCTACTCCCACACTTTCTCATGCAAAAGGCAGTGAGATGTGTGGAAGATGGAGAGGAGGTGCTGAGCATCCTGACAAGTCAGAAGGCCATGGAGTTCATGTAAACAGATCAGGCTGTTAACAGATTGAAGTTCAAAGAGGCAACTCTAACCCCAGCTGCCTGCGGAAGGGGACACAGGCCCCTGGGCTGGCTCTGGTCTCAGTTACAGTCCAAAGTCTGTCTCTAGGCTCAGGACAGGCAGGGAAGGAAAGGTAGAAAAAAAGGCAAAGGGAGAGGTGAGGGCAAGAGAAGAGAAAGGGGCCTGATTAGAGTGAACAGAGGCTGGGCCGCAGGAAGGGGACCAGGAGGAAGACTGTGCCACTGAGATCCCAAGGAAGAGAGAAGACTGGGTGGACCGAGCCAGGGGTGAGGTGAGAGGGAGGCGGAAGGAGGTGGATGATACTGCTGGGTGAAGGGTAGGGCTTTTCCTTGAGGCAGAGATTGTTATCTTAAGGTAAAGCAGTAAGAACAGGGTTAGGACAAGGCACCACACATGTATCTTAAACATTTCTTGGATTCCCATTACCTCAGCCCCTGGCCTTGGGCCAAAGGTAGTGACACCAATGCTGAAGCTCATGAGTCCCCCTCTGCGGTCCATCCAGCATGAGCGGACTAAAGGCGTACACATGCAGAGCTTGAGCCCCCCCAATTCTCCACCTCACCTGTGTGCTGCCTGGGGTACTTGGTCTCTCACCTGCAGGGCACAGAAGCAGCTGTGCAGATTGTCCAGCCTCGGGGCGAAGATGAACTCATCATAGGCTCCACCCAGTACCTGGAAAGACAGGAAGGGCAGTCTGTGACCCTACTGCCCTCCTCAATCCCCTACTTCATCAAAGAGAACTTTAGTACATATTCAAGAACCCAAAGACTTGGCGATTGATCTCCTATTGACAGCAACTGAGAGGCAGAGGGCAAGTGGCTACTTCCTGGCCTTCTACTCTCAGAGGTTCAGAGACAGTGTGGGTTGAAGCCACCAGGGACCACCTGGAGCAGAAACTGCTGGGAATCTACGAGCAGGGCTGATTCCCAGGCCCTACCCCACAGACAGCCCCAGTGTGGGCGAGGGAGGGGATGACTAGGGACACACACACCAAGCGCGTGCGCACGCACACCCTGCCTCTCTGGGAAGCATGCGTGGGGGAGTGTAACAGGGATGACAGTAACTGAGGGGCCGGCGAGGTGAGGTGATCAGTACTTCAGGGAACATGCTGGCTGGGACACTGGCCCCACCCCAAGCTCCTGCACCACCCTCACCGCCGGCTGGGTGTCTGCCAGGCACAGCTCCATCTCCAAGATGTCTTCAGGGCTTAATCCCAGCTGGGCACAGAGCAGGGACGTGAGGACCGAGTGGTGCCGCTCATCCTGCAGGGCAGAGGATGTCTGGAGAAAGGTCTGTTCCTCCTCTCCTCACCCCTTTTCAGGGAACCTGTCTGTTCCCCCCTCCACATACCCCTCCCAGGCCCTCTTACAGCTGTATTGAGAGGCTCTGGCTCAGGAGCCCTCTTCTCCAGCTCCTCCTGGATTGCTGTGGCAAGAATGGGGACTCTGTGGGGAGACAGAAGAAAGGAGGGCATGGGAGGGCTAGAGGGCACAGCAGGGTGGGCACCCATGGGCTCAGGCATCTCCTGTTGGGGAGCTGCCCTTACCCTTCATTTCCCAACCCACTCCCCAAACAGCAGTGCTATGAATACCCTTGGACAGCAATTGGGCCACAAGAGTGGAACTCGATTGGCCATTAAGTACTGGTCTCCCGGGTCCCACGGGGGTCCCTTCTGTCACCTAGTGCCATACCCCACCCCCCTTCCACCACAGCCCCTGCCCCAGTCTCTCACAGGTGCGTCTCCGTGTTGGGCCCAAAGTTCTCATTGATATCTCGCTGCAGATGGATGGCTAGGTGCGGGATGCGCAGGATAGGCCGGTCCACATGCACCAGCCGCTGCTCCAGCCGACCTGAGGAGGGGCACTGTGGTCGACAGGCCAGGTCAGCCAGGGCGCCTTCCAACCCCAGCTGGTTAAATCTCTCACTTCATTCACCCAGACTGAACACACAGTCCTTCAGGCTGGCCCTACCTCTTCTCTCCTCCAGGGAGCTCTCCACTGGTACCCCCGAAAATGTGACATTCAGTCTGCAGGCAGCTGATGCCAAGAGCCTCCTAGTCCCCACCAGAGTTCCCACCTTGATAATGACACGTCCAGCCAAGGTCAGGTCTCGATCAAACCAGGTGTTCCAGATCCCACCGCCATAGGTCTCTACCCCAACCTGATGGAAGCCCGCCTGGCTCCGGCGAGACCGGCGTTTCACCTGACCATGAAGACAGGAAGTCAGGCTGGATGACAAGATTCGTTTTACAAGTTAAGTTGTACAGAGCAAATATCAGTGTCAGACAAAGGGTCAAAGTGTGGAAGAAAGGGGCAACAGGCCTAGCTTCTTTCCTGCTCCCAGGGGATAACCGCCCCCATTTGTACCTCCGTTCACACTGCCCAACACCTCCCCTCACCCCAGCAGGGCCCTGGGTTCTCACCCGGAGGCAGGGACTGTCTGTGTGGGCCCCAATGAGGCTGAAGCCATTGCCAGGAACATACTGGCCCCCTACAGCAAAAGCAATGATGGTAGAGGAGTTCCTGGTCAGGAAATACTGGGGAGGGAGAAGAGAGACAGGGTGTGAGTTGCTTACCCAGCTGGCACACAGAACATGAGATCCAGTCCAGGGATCTGCCCATCCCTAGTACCTTGCTCTCAGGCTTGATATCCCAGCTCTCTGTCTCCTTGAGTTCGCGGAAGCCAGCCTGGAGGAGGCGGTTTCGGCACTCAGCCACAGCTGTAGGAAAAGGTCCCTTTCATAGCGATGGATGCTGCTGGAGCACACCCCGGCCCCCGCCCTCCTCACCCAGCCACCTACCGTGGAAAGGAGAGGGACTCCGGTTCACGAACTTGAGGAGCTCACGGGCCGCGGCCAGCACTGCCTCTTTGCGGGCCCTGCCGTTCATGGCCACCTAGAGAAGAGGGCACTCAGGCTCCTACCAGGTCTGGGGCCCCTACTTTCGTCCAAGCCCCTAGAACGTCCCAGTCTCCACCCAGAAGCCACTGCTCCAAGGGTCAGAGCTGTTTCTGTCCTTTTTCCCACCGACAGATGTAGTCCTGAGCCTAACTTCTCCGCCGAAAGCCAGTCCTCCAGCCAAAGGACAACGACCCAGCTTGTGCCGGTCGGCCAGCCCCGAATCCGAGCCTTAGCCCGGCTCCCCAAGCTCCACCCCACGTCACCCAGCTAAGAAAAGCTCATCTGCACCCAAACTCCGGGTTCCCAAGAGGCCCACCCAACTCCGACACGGCCCCCACCGCGCAAGACCCCACCCTGGAATAGAGGGAGCGTCTCACCTCTCCCTTCCCCACATCCAGCCCCGGGGAGGTCAGGTCACCAGAGCCAGGGTTTCGGTTTCGCTTAGGGTCAGGCATGCCCCACTCAGCGGGGTGCTAAAGTGAAACCCGAGTGAGTGCGGTGCCAGGCTGGGATTGAAATCTATCCGGGCTCACAGGCCGCCACCTACTTGCATGGCCGCACTGCCTCTTCCGCTGCTCAGCCGGCTCGACTCCGCCCCCTACTGGGCCCCGCCCCTATACAAACCACGCCCACTCCTCCACCACCACCCCACCGCAGCCCCCTCCACCTCGCTCCTCCCTCCTCTTACAGAGCTTTCAAGAAGTGGTCTGCTCCGCCCCTCATCAGGCCCCACCCCCTTCCAGCCCCGCCTTTTGCCTTGTCCTTGTCGGACAGAGTCCTTGTCGGCCGGTCTGGTCAGTCTAGGACTTGCCTGCCTCTCTCCCCGCCCCCATCAACCCGCTCCGCCCACCGCTCGCACCCACCGCCGCCGGTAGGTCCCTCTGGCGCACGGGAGGTGCTAGAACAGCCGCGAACTGCCCGCCACCCCCACCCCCACCCGCAGCGAATCGGAGCAGAGGAAAAAAGGTCTTCTTGGCTAGATCACTGGGTCGACAGGCACAGGACAAAGTGTTCTGCAGCCACCCCTGTGATAACAAGAGCAGCGTGACTAACATTCACGTGTTGTTTCGTTTAATGCTCACGAATGCCCATTTATGTTTTACTTTTACTGTCCCCGTTTTATACACGAACTAACGGAATACGGAGAAGAGTAACCGGCCCAAAGTGATAATTGGCAGAGGTGGGGTTTGGACTCTACTAGTTTGATTGCAGAGGCCTGGAACAATTTCTACTCAGGCTTCTCAGGTCTTTTCTGGGCCTTCTTCTATGTGCTTTGGTAAATGCTATATTTGAGGGACATAACAAGTTAATGATTTACCTGAGCTCACATACCTATTTGGGTGGATCTGGCATTTGATTCTGATACCTGTGCTCTTACTACGTGTGTGTGTGTGTGTGATACTGGAGATTGAACACAGGGCTGTTGCCCTGAGCTACATACATCCCCAGCCCTTTAAAAAAAATTTTTTTGAGACAGGGCCTCCCTAAGTCATTAAATTGGCTAACGTGGGCTCCACCTTTCCATCCTCCTGCCTCAGCTTCCCAGAATGCTGGGCTTACAGGTGTCCACCGCCATACCCAGCCTAACACTTCTTTAAAAACCAGAAAAAAAGCAAACTCTATATGTTCTTGGAAGCAATCCTAATAGTCTGATGTCAAGAGTTGTGAATAGCAATTTTAAAACCCATGCACCTGCCTAGCTGTGGATAACAATCAGGACTCTTGGAGGCCCTGGGTTCAAAGCAGGGCTCACTACCAGGGGTGTTATCAATATTCCAGGAATCACAGGTCCACGGGGCAATGTCATTTACATACTTGGAGTAAGAGTGATGGGGGAGAGGGTGGGGAGAGATTGGAAAGGTCCTGCTGCCCTCACCTGCAACAAGCAGATATTGCAGGGTGGGGTGTTCAGCAGTACACACACTCGGTGATGGGATAAATTCATGGGGCTCCCTGACCAAACGCTGAAATACCATTATGTACAAAGTTCAGTGTTGAGTTGGGCATGCAGAGAATATTCTTGTCCTCAGAGGAGCTAGGGGCTGAAGGTCAGGGAGAAGAGCTGTCACAGGGCTAAAATGCATCTTGGTTTTCTGTATTTAACTAACCTCAGAAGGAAAATATTTGGGAAAAAATTGTGTCTTTTACAGAGTTACAGACTTTTCCCTTGTCATTTCTTAAAGAGTAGTTTTACAACTATTTACATGGTATTTATATTGCATTTGGTATTATAAGTGATAGAGAGATTATTTATTAAAATATATGGGAGCATAAGCACAGATTATATGCAATTACTGCACCATCTATGCCCTAGATTTGGGTATCTAAGTATTAATTTGTCACATAATTGTGAAGGGTCACTTGATAGTCAGAAGACCAAAGCAATGCTGTAAGAAAGAGATCTGGTATATGTTTCCATACATCCTGTCCCTGTTTGCAAAATTGAGTGCAATGAAGGATTGAATCAGATAATCTTAATTTTCTGATGCCAAGACTGCTATGGATACCTCAATGGTGTTTGTTTCAATGAACGCATAGTTTACTCTGGGTATAATAACAGGAACTTGCACAGCGCGGTGGAATTTGTCTTCTTACAGTGTTGCTGGAGGGTACTTTAGTTTCAAACACAAGACTTCTGCTCAAGGTGTTTTTCACATAGTTCTCAACTGGTTGAGAACTACAAATCCCAGGATGCTGTGAGATGAATAGCTCTTAGGCCAGTGATGGTGAACATTTTAGAGATGGAGTACCCAAACTGCAACCCCAAACCCACTTATGTGTCGCAAAGTGCCAACACTGCAATTAAACCTGAATATTGAGGTTTTCATTTAGGAAAAACAACTCATACATTAACATCTTTTGGCTTAAAAGAAAAACAGCATGAATACCATAGGTTCACCACCACTCTCTTAGGCTACTTGCCATTTCGAACCAATTACGTTCTGGGAAGGAGGTTTAAAAGCTACTTAAGTTAAAAAGTATTTTTAAAGCACCTCTATAGATACTGCTAGAAAAATTTTACAAGATATTGTATAACAAATAATAAGTGAAAAGACATTGTGTGGAATAGCAGTAATAGTATGCTGGCATTTGTGTGCAAATACACATATTCTTATGTCTTTAAAATATATTAAGAATAAAACATATAAAGAGTCACAAGAAAAACCTGACTCTGGGGAAGAGAACTGGAATGATTTCAGAACTGGAGTGGAAGAGAGATCCCTTTTTCCTGAAAATCCTTTTGCACATTTTGAATTATTTTTATGTAGATGTATTAAATATGTTCAAAAATGAAATAAGTAAATGTTAAAAAATAATAGGTGGAAAATTTTTTTTTGGCAACACAGGGATTGAACCAGCATCTTCTTGCTGAGCTAGATCTCCAGCTCCTTTATATTTTTTATTTTGAGACACTCACTATATTGCCTAGGCTGGGCTCCAATTTGTAATCCTCCTGTCTCAGGCTCCCAGGGTGCTGGGATTACAGGTGTGCATTACCACAGAAAGGTAATCTTTAAGTACTTTCTGTGATCATGAATTTTGTCTTCTCTTATACCCTGATTTAGTTAGCAAGCACTTGTTGGTTAGACTTTAGCTTAAAGCCTGCAGTAAAGTAACAAGTGCTGGAAGGTGCACATGTAATGCTGTATCATCCTCTGATATGAAAATTATGTGTACTTGTGGAATGAGGAATAGGTGGAGTGCTTCTTTTGATAGACATTTGAAATAAAAAATAAACACTAGAGAGGTACCTGGCTCTATTCATTCCTCATCTATACCAGAACTACAAGCTATTGCTTCCACCTGTTCCTCACGCTTTCTGTCTTCCTGTCCCTCTTCCCTAGCACAAACCAAATACCCTATCACATGACCACTTCCTTTGAGTCCCTTGCCTAGCTCTGGATTTACTTCCTTGACTGGCTAAACCTTAACCCTGACAGCAACTGCTCCTTACCTGCTCCACGTCTGCACCCAAGTGACTGGACAAACACACAGCCCGGGTGACCAGTCCCAACCACGGACCTAAAGAGGGGTCTTTGTCCTGCCCAGAACTCCTTGTGCACCTGCTGACTGTTTGCTCTTCCACTCCCCTGGAGGACGGTTTCATCCAGTATCCACCCTGTCCCTGGCTGCCTGCTGATGATGATGGCTGCCCATTTCTACATGAAGATAGAAGCCTTCAAAGGGAACTTGTCCTTGTTTCTGTGGGTGAACCATCTTTGAGTCTAAGTCTGTCTCCTGCACTCATGCACAAGAGTGCTCCTCTTTTTTTTCCTGTGGTACCAGGGATCGAACTCGGGTCCTTGCACTTGTGAGGCAGGCAGCAGAACTACTGAGCTAAATCCCCGGCCCTCCTCTTTTTTACTTAAGAGCACCATTTCTTTTTTCTCTTCTATACATTCCTTCCTTCCTTCTTTTCCTTCTGAGGCAAGCTCTAGCTGTGTTGCCCAGGCTGGTCTTGAACTGCTGGGCTCAACTGATCCTCCTGCCTCAGCCTCCCTGGCAGCTGGGACTATAGATGAGCAGCACACTGCCTGGCTTTCCATGCCCCGTTTCTGCAGTTCTCCATCTTCTACTGCCTTGCCATCTCTATGGTTCTGGCAGGTCATGCTGACGGTCATGCACACATTTTGTAATTTCTCTCATTGAAAAAACAACCCTCTCTTACCAATTTTTCTCCTGCAATAGCCTCATTTTCTGTTCTCCTTTAAGTAAATCTCCTTTTTGAAAAAGAGATACCTAGACTTAACTGTCTCTGATTCCTCTTCTCCCATTCTCTTATATAAAAGCCCTCTGAAAAAACCCTTTCACTTCAACCATTCCACCAATATTTATGTTGGTGAGGTAAAACACAACCACAGTGCTGAACCCATGAAGCAATCTTTAGTGCTCGTGGTACTGGACCCACAACCACATCTGACGAAGTCCCTCACTGCCTCTTCTGGAAACTCTCCCCACCTGGCTTGCAGGAGGCTTACAATACTCACTGACCACTCTTTTGCACCTTCTTCCCTGGCTCCTCCTCATTGCCTCCTTGAATGGGATCTTCAGGCCCGAGTTCTTAGAAATCTGTCCACTCTCAGTCCCTTTCTGATCTTTTCCAGCCTCGTGGGTTTAAATAGCATCCATGCCCTGCACTTCCCAAGCTTACATACCTCTAGCCAGACATTTCCTCTGAGCTACAGCTTACATATCCAATTTTTCTTTTTTTCTTTTTTTAATTTTTTTATTTTGGTACCGGGGATTGAACTCAGGACCTTGCGCTTGCAAGGCAGGTGCCTGAACCACTGACATATCCAATTTTTCATTCACAGTCTCCACATGTGTGCCTAATAGGAACCTCCAGTTTCATAAGTCTGAACCTCTTGCTCCCCCAAACCTACTCCATCTACATCCTTCCCATCTTAGCAGACAGCATCTCTGTCCTTCTAGCCTCAGGCCCCAAACCTGCGTGTCATGGTGGACCCTCTCTCACACTTCCAGATCCTTCTGGTAGTGCACCCTGTGGCCCCCATTCCCTGGCATCTCTAGAGAGCAGTGCCCCAGTCCTCTGCCCTGCCTTCCTCCATCACTGCCACCAACGTCACCTCCTCTGTCGGGTTCCAT